TTCACGCACGCACGCACGTACGCACGCACGCACGCACGCACGCACGCACGCACGCACGCACGCACGCACGCACGCACGCACGCACGCACGCACGCACGCATGCACGCACACACACACAGCACTCAACATTTAAGAATACATGCGTTTATGTACATTAGACTGTCAAAAAAATAAATATATTTATTTTTAAATCGGCCTCTCAACTCAAAAGCTTCCATTTCATGTAAAAAAAACACCCCTAAATTTGTATTAAAAAATATTAAGATTTAGTGGTCGCTAGTGAATGATTTTTAAATCAAAATTTCGATTTTCCTTAATACACGTTTGATTTGATGCAAAAATGACTTAATCCGGATTTTAAATGTGGTACTGTATTTTTTTTTGATCGCTAAAAACGATGCAATAATTTATTTAGCTCTACGATATACGTCTTAAGAAATACTGCCCGATTAATGTATATAATTCATTATATATTATCGAAAATTTGGAAAAAATTGTGGGTTTATTTTATATATTTTATATAAAAAGCGATAATTATGTGGAGAATATATTATGAATTCAGAATTATGTAGATCACCAATTATGATTCCATTAAAATTCCATTCCTATTTTTGTTATATGTGTGATTCCTTATTTTATATAAGTAGTTTATTTCAATTAATTAAATCATATTTTTGTTATTATGTACTTATTTCATTTTCTAATAAAACATTTTTTATAGTCAAATTGAGGCATTTTATTTGAGGATGTCAAGACCACAAAGCGATATACTTTAGAACTTGTAAAAAAATTTTTTCTATTCTTAAAAACTTATTAATAATCCAGTTAAATGAAACTTTTAAAGGTCCTGTACGAAGTTTCGGGAAAATTCCAACTGAATCTTGTTCTGGGTAAACAGACCTACAATTTAAGAAGATTAACGACCCATTTGAACGCTTGGAACCTTGCTAAAATCGACCTTGAACTCGAAATTTCGTCATATTTTCACATTAATCAGGCAGTACTTCTTAAGGCGTAGAACTAAATGAATTATTCAAATTATTGAATCGTATTCAGCGATCAAAAAAAATATACAGTACCACATTTAACCTTTTAAGGGCGGGGAAAAATGAGTTAAAATCGACTTCTTTTTAGACGTGATAAATAAATTCAATGAATTTCTCATATGGAATCCCCCACCTGACTGCTGGTCGAAATATCAACCAGCCCCGCCCGCAAAGGGCCAATCCAATGTAATTTTAGCTTGAAGATTTGAGAGTATTTTCCTACGTAATTTGATGCGCTGAATACGGGAAAAATAGTGAAAAAAATCCTGGTAGCATCCTTGACCTTGAAAATCGCCATTTCAAGGTTAAATTTTTTTTTTAAATAAAAGTATAGCGGTTTTCGAGGTCAAGGATGCTTCCAGGAATTTTTACACTATTTTTCCCATATTCAACGCATAAAATTTTCCCTGAAAAAACATCAAAAATTAATGTGTCCCCTAAGTGGTCGATATATCTCCCGTCGACCACTCTCGCCTTTAAAAGGTTAAAATCCGGATTAAGTCATTTTTGCATCAAATCAAACATGTATTAAGGGAAATCGAAACTTTGATTTAAAAATCATTTATTAGTGACCTCTAAATCTTAATATTATTTAATAAAAATTTAGAGATGTTCTTTTGACATGAAATGGAAGCTTTTGAGTTGAAAGGCCGATTAAAAATTATATAATTTCTTTTTATTTCTCTAATATACATATATATACTTATTATCATAAAAGAAAATATATCTAGCTATCTTAAGGAGATATGACTCAAATTCTATAACTCCAAAGCCTATATCTTTTTATCTGTTGATTTTAGGTAAAAGTGGTATCTGAACATTTGTTCAGAATCATGAAAACTATAATATATTTCAAAATGAAGCAATTTGATCGGGGTTATTTTTTCATCTATTAAATCGTGTGGGGTCTTTTACATAAAAGTTCTGAAAAAGTCATGAAGAATTCTAAAAAAAATTTTCCAGAGTTTTCGGATATGTCGCATTATAGAATTCTTATTTGAATACCTGCTGCAAGAATATCCGATTCACTTTTGGCAGGTCGGCGATGTACCCGAAAATTAAACGGCCGATGCCGGAAGTGATGCCAATACACATGACCGGCAGCTTACTGTCGGCATCTTTGAACGTCGTAGCCACGAACTTTCCTATGTGAACGTACGGGACGAAGTATCTGAAATAACGACCGAGTTTTCGCTATCTCTGTAAAGTAGAATAAAATAGAAAATTCAGATATGGAAAAAGTTAAATTCTTACATTTAAATATAAGAGAGAGAAGATAAAGAAGCAACGATATCTTTCGGGAGAAAGATCAAAGTAACCACGTGCAGTGATAAACTGCAGTTAATAAACGTTCGAAACATAAAAAAAAAGAGAAAATCACAGACTGCAGAAAGTAATCAAACGATGATTAGTTTGCGATTATAGTGATTTATTGGGATTATCTATTTGGGTATGATCTTCATTGACGTAGCTATATTTAAGCGATTATGGTGATTTATTGGAATCGTCTATTTTGGTTCATTCTGCATTGAACTTATATTATTATATGTATATCATATATATGTATATCTTACAAACCGAGATAAATCGAGATTATACTTCATCCGCAATTGTAAATTTGCTGGGACTAAGCATAATCGTCAACTCACCCAAAAAGTGCGAGAGGAATAGAACTAGCCCAGACGACGTATCGTCTTTTCTTCCAGATGGATACGTTTACAAATTCTTTCAGACGATAGCGTATCGATTTCTTGTGTTGCGATTCGCCTTCCTGCGGTGTAGTTACTGAAAAAAGGTGCTCATTAATGTTATCTAGTTATCACATAATCGTTGAATAGTTAATATTAACAAATTTCGAATTAAATCTGAATTCTTTACAAACGCAATTAATGTTGAAAATCGAAATTCTATATTATGTAAAATCGTAAAATCACGCTTCTTTCAAATGTATTCCTCGTCTAATGGATATAGAGATGCGATAACATTGTTTAAGTGACTTTTTTTTAGCGAAAATAATTGTTTTCGGTTATAGTTTCTGCGGTGCTGAATACGATCCCATTTATCAAATTATTTATTACTTCACAATATTAATCGCAAATTTGGAAAAATTTGCGGTTAAAGTTGCAAAAAGAGGACTATTTGAATATATTTTGGAATATTACAATTACAATATATGATGCGTTGAAAAAATTTTATTCTAACCAGAATTAAGTATTTTCTAGCACGTGACAAATCCAGCTATGTGGAACGAGTTTAACTCGTGAGTTTTATTATATTTTTTTGTGTAAATGAAAAGCAATATGAGAAAAAGTCATGAATTATATGTGTTTCTTTTGTAACTTTTCCTGTAGTCGATTAATGTAATCAGTTTTTCTCTACAATAGATATTTAATAATTTGTTTATAACAATTTATTGTAAAATTGATTTTTGTAAGGTGATTTTTACGTCAGAAATATTTTTTCATGCTCTTATTATTGCCAATTGTTGTATTTTTGATATCTTTTACCTATCATGATTTAGTCATAAGTTTTAATGAGTTAAGAATTTATCAAATATTTTTTAATTAATTTTTAAAACTTAATATTTTTTCAGATCGCTGAATATCTAAGTACGATAATGTATAATGTCAAAGTGGATAAATTAAATTTAAATTGTATGAAAAACTTCTATATAAGAATTATTCCAAAAATTCGAATATTTTAGACATCTGCCATATTTTTATCCATTTTTTTGATCAACTTTTTATATCATTTTATTTATCAACCCTCAGATTATAAATATTCAATAAAAAATTCTTATGCTTAAGGGCCCTGCCTAGTTACCGTGGCCATATTAGACTCGTGACGTCAGAAGCAAGAAATAGCGAGAAATGACACTAAAAGTTTCTTGCATGCCATTTTTAAATAAAGAGGATTTGGATAAAATTAATAAATAGAATATCTTTAGAAAATTTGTAAAAATGGGTGTAAACTATCTTTTCCCCCCTGAAAGTCAGTAAATAGTCGTAAAAGGCACGTAAAGAAAGAAGCTGTTTATTCAGGCAAGAAAACTCATTTGATAGTTGTTGAAAGGTATGGAAAAGATACTTTTACGTATAAAATTCGATAACTATAGTTTACACCCATTTTTACGACTTTCATAAATACGAGTCACATTTTCACAATTAAGCACATAAAATAACGAAATGGCACGCAAGACAAAATTTCATTGTCAACACTTTTTACGATAGGTCCGTTATTCTCTTCAAATCGTGTATTCTCTTCACATATTCGACTATAATTAATAAATTTTTACTGCTTACGATATCGGTATATAACATATTTTGTAAAATTATCACGGTTTATGACTTAAAACACCGAAATATAACATATTATATATAGAACGAGCTTAGCATGATAAAGAAGCTTCTAATTTCTACTACGATATAGCGTCGTCACCGTCAACGCGAAGTTCGTGGCTGACTAGGCAGGGGCCTTAAATAATATAATTATAAAATATTTGGTAGATCTTTAATGACATATGTGAATCGCAACTTTGACGCGAAAGATTCTATAATCACAAATACATATTTTTGTTAATCATAATAGACAAACAACATAACATAAATTTCTTTTAAAAATTGAAAGTCCTAACGACATACTTAATTTTGATTGCAATAAAATTTTTCGCGACACATATTATAGTTTGCCAAAATTACAATAAATTACAATATAATTCCTTTTTGCAACATTTGAATTGCATTTCTGAAAATTGTACACTCACGGTCATTGATTCTGTCCCTCGGAAATTTTCACAAACTCTGAAGTGATCACTTTTCTACATTAATGTTCATAGTTCATGCCTGATTTCGTTTCGTTAATCGTGCATAGATTATGAGCTTTAATGTAGAAAAGTGATCACTTCAGAATTTGTGAAAATCTCCGAGGGACAGAATCAATGACCGTGGGTGTACTGGAGCAATTTTAAGAAATAAATGCTATCCAAAGAAACTGTGAGAAATTATTACTTTTATTTTTTGTGCATTTTTTATTAAAAGAATATAATGGGCCGTCCATTTTACACAAGCATATTTTTGGCCATTTTTGATCCTCCCTCTCCCATGTAAGCAAATGTTAGAATTTTTGAACCCCCCCTTAATTACGTACGTAAGATTTTTCCGATTATACTCGATGTAAAGTTAATATTGCTCGTTTTTCATGACAGCAGCAGACTTAAAAAATCTTGCGTAAGGATATATACGACCTCCCCCTCCCCCATGTAATTATTTGTCAGAATTTGACTGACCCCCCCCTCCCCCAGTCATGCTTACGTAATATATGGACGGCCCCTAATCATATATTTCATCGGTATAAGCAAATAAAAGTGAAACAAGCAAAATTAACACATTGCTGACCGAGCTTGTTTTATATAGAAACTAACGCCTATAATCGGTTATTGTTTTTATACAAGCTAATATTGAAAATATCAAACATATATTAGGCCGTATGCGAGCCAACACGGATGACGGTGTGTAATAATTTCTTTTTTTACAATATCCAACCCCAGTAGACAGCGCGCCGCAATTCGTCGGTCTTGAAACGCTTACATGAGGCCAGAATAACTTGTAACAAATTAAATCGATTAACGATTTAATCTCTTTGATGCTATATGCATCTATATCCCCTTTCCCTCCGAATCTGTAGAATTATTTATTGCGAAAAAAATCACCTCAGCTCTCAGCCAGGAATCGAACCCGGATCTCCACGTTTGCCGGACGGGCGTCCTACCTTTAGACCACCGAGGTATGTGATGATTTTCTTCGCAATAA